TGCTTCTGCTGATGTGCTTTTTCTGTTCTCGATGAACTTGTATTCAAATGGCCCTCCCTTCGAGTGGCAAAAAACAGTATTCGTCGAGTGGACCTAGGATTTCCGCGCCAAATTTTGAACATGTACATTTGCTAAGCACGGGGCACATGCATGCATGACCAATGAATCACAGCATCAGCTCCAATGCACCTTTCAGTGCAGTTCTTTCGCCTTTGCCCGGCTTTGTCGGGCACAGCCGCGGCACTTCGGATTGGCTGCTGCTCATGCCGGCCTCTGCCTGAACGCACGAGAGGAGCAAGCGATTTCTCATGGTGGGCTATGACGGACATTGAGACTTGCACGTTTGAGAGCTCATCGGCATTTGGAGATGGTCGTGCTGCAGCTAGTGGCCGCATTGTACTCTCCAGGCAATCTCCTTCTGCGAGCCGCAGCCGGCTACCTCCTCCACTTTACTTGGATGTATGAGACCCACGATCAGGTCCTGCCGCAAACTTTGACGATCTTCTGCCTGCAGCCTGGTCTCTCGTACTCAATTTTTCTGATGCGATAGTGCCTCGTGACTCGGCTCAGCCGACAGGCCAGGCAGGCCGAACGTGTGCAATTGTGTGCGATCCACTTACCGGCCATTCCCCGGCCTGCAGTCCTGTGGCTTCCAGCATTGCAAGTGCACGGGACACCTGGCTGCGCTGAAGGTCCACGAAAGCAAAGCTACGCTGCACTTCCACCTGGACGGTGACGGATCAAGTTCCCAGCTGTCACACCTCAGGAAATTCGTTGGGTGCAGCTTCCCGCCTGTTTGCTTTGCCTAGCCTGCACTGCTCCTGTCAGCGGACTCATGCTGACATTGCATACACTATGGCACAACCAAAACCGCATCCGCGTCGGCCCATGCCTGCTGAATGACGGCCTCAACCAGGTCTGTCTAGATCTCTCGCCTCGGCGGATGGCACTTAGCAGCTAATCTTTGTTGCTGCAATGCACATCGTGAAACACTGTGAGTGAACGACTGGCTTGTACCGACAATCCTGCAGCATAGCATCATAGCAGCGCTAACAACGGCAGTTTGAGCCCCTGACTTGGTACAGTAGGGTTGGAGAGAACTCTGCACTGAAGCGATGAGCAACAGGTGCGGGTCTTGATCAAGTCAACAATCATGCTGAAGACACCGTTCGTTTCAGCGACAAACCTGTCAGCACATATATCCCAAGGAGTGTTAGCCTGCCTCTGCTGCAAAGGGTGGTTGTGCCGTGTTGCTTGGCGGCACTAGAGCAGGAAGCCTTGCAACAAAGAAATCTGAAAAACACATTTCTTTGACCACCTCCCCACCAGGTTTGGGACACCTCGTCTTTTTGAGCCTCGCTATCGGTCCATATCTTGTCCCTTCTTGGTACGCTGCATCTGGTTCGCCACTGATCTGACCTTGGCAGCCGCAGGTCTTGGCTGTGACGCCACTCGGCCGGAAGGTCTCAGGCCCTGGCCTTGGCCGCCTGCTGCCTTGGAAAAGAAACTATGCCGGCACACTTCCAGCTCTCCGAAACCGAATGCAGCGCTATGGCCGGGCCGAATGATGTACCAAAGAAGCAATCCTACGTTGCTTTGACATGCTTTGTGCTGTGGGTGCGCCTTCGTCATCGCGACCAGACAGACTGCGAAGAAACGCTGGGTCGGCCGAGGTCTTCAGCTTCATCCCAATAAATCAGTATATACCTTACTTAGGTGATGCCGCAGTAGACCAGCAGAGCATAGTACTCAGTACGCTTCAGCAGCACAGAAAAATGGCACTACTGTAGTACTCTACATATGTTGGGCCCACACTTCTCCGCAACGCGCCCGACCATCAGGGGACGTTTGACGCGCCTGCCAAATTAAAGTGCATTTTGTTTCGTTGGCATCCGATAGTCACATAGGACCTGCAAAGCAGTCGGGCCTTCACCTTGGTGCACCCAAAAATTTAAAACGTCATCTGTCCGCACTTGCAAGAGCCTGCACCAGCCGATCTGGCAAATCTGGCAAGCTGAACAGACAGACTGGTGACTCCGTTGGCCAGGTAGGCAGGGATTCCATTCCTGTGGAGAAGGGGTTGTGTGCTAAGATGAAAATCGCAAGCCAAAACTTCTGAACGCGAAGAAACGGCAGGCCAGCAGCTAGCCTTTGCACAGCGGCGATCCTCACAATCTTCCGGTTTCAATCAAACACTTGTAGAGTCCAAGCGACTGCACAAGACGTTCCAAAGTGGCGATGGAACCGATGGAAAACGATCTTAAATTAAGCGAAATTACTCGAAGGATCAGCTTGGCTGACAGGGTACGAGCGTTCACGTGGATCTGAGCCGAACACCAATGGAGACTGGCTCTTCGGGCTGGTTGCCTACCGTGCTCATGGTCTCGATCAGTGGTGGCCTGTCCCACTTCTCGAGTACGAATCGTTGAACCACCTTCGCAATGGCGAGGCGTGCTTCATAATCCGCAAGTCGCATGCCCACACAAATGCGGGGTCCGTAGCCATATGGGAGCGCATCGAAGGGTGCATGTCGGTTCAGGCCCTCAGGCCCCAACCACCGCGATGGACGAAAGTCATGCAAGTCATCACCAAGTTCCTTCTTGACTTCTGGATCATTCCTCAAGATACTCCGCAAGGCGAGCAGAATCGTGGTCCCCACCGGAAGCTTGCGACCTACAAGGGTCACCTGCTCCGTCGGTTCCAGCTCCATGAAGGTCAGCGGTCCGTGACAGCGAAGCGTCTCCAACCACAGCGCCTGCAGCAAAGGAAAGGAGTCCAGCTGCGCAGAAGAGACCTCATGATCTGGAAGTGACCGCACTTCCTCTGCGACTTTTGTCTGAAACTCCGGATCCCGAGCAAGGTGGTAGAAGGCCCAACATGTGGTGAGGCTTGTCGTGTCTGTGCCTGCTACGAAAAGGCCAGTTATGTTTTCAAGCAGCTCTTTGTGAGTAAACCTGTCGCCATCCATGTCCATCAACTTCTGCGCAATGCTTTTCCTGCTGCGACTGGCATTCTTCAGAATCTCCTCAGATCGCCGGTCAAAGCGTCTGGATATTTCTGCACCATTGTCAATGAGCCAAGCCAGCCCAGGAATCTTCCAGTACGGTACCGGCGAGAAATATCGCAATTGCACAGCCTGAAATAGCCGCTTGATATCAGAAGTGATCTCAGCGTTGCGAGTCTCAAGCAGTTGCAGCTCTTGGCCAAGAGCTGTCTTGCAAACCACTTCCGCGCTGTACAACGGCAGAAGCGCCGAAAAGTCCACTTTTCCCTTGGGCGCATCCTTAGTGATCTCCATCAAAAGCTGCTGTGCGACCTCCTCTATGGCTGGAATGTGGCTTTCCACACTCTTGGAGTTGAACGGCGGCGCCAGCACACGTCGCTCGCGCTTCCAGCGCTCCCCCTCCGAAGTGAAAAGGAAAGCAAAGATGTCTGAGGCGTTTTGAATCTTCGAACCTCGCGTTACCTTAAAGGGTCTTCGGGATAGGATGTGATGTGCTTGCTCCCAAGAACACACAACGACGGAACGGTTCCCAGCAAGGTTCATCTCGAAGACCCCCTCTTGACCGTACATGAGCGACCACTCCTCGATCTTCTGAGTGATGAACTTCGCCCCCGGGCCAAGTTGCGATAGAACGCCCAGCAACCAATGGCCAGGAACCTGTCGGAAACGCTCGACTTTGGCACTCCGAAGCCAGCGGATCGCCAGCAGTGATACTCCCGCTCCAGCCAAGGCAGCTGCAAGCACCGTTCGGCGCTCTGCGAGTGTCTGCATGTCTTCTAGGGGTGCTACTTCCTGCGAGATCCTGTCCAAACTCGTGATTCAGAGCCGCCAGCTGCGGTTCAAATGCAGCAACAAGGTGGACGACAAAGAACATAACTGAAAAAAGGTTCCGTGTGTTTGCATCGTGGCGTGAACCTCTAGAAAATGAGCCCGATGCCGTGAGAGAGCCAATCGTGATGGCTTGTCGACCTGAACAGGCTTGCCGAAGTCGCTCCCAATAATGCCTTTGAGCGATTGCATTGAGCTCATGTTTTTCTAATCTTGGGCGTCTCGGCTGATCCACAATGTGTCAGCTTCGCCGGGGCATTGCATCACGTTGCTGCCGGAAGTCGGCCGCCTGACTGTGTGTTACGACCAAGCATGACCAGATCCGCTGCTCTAAGATTTGTACGTAACGCTGCACACGGATCCTGCCTGCTTTGCCATGAACATGCGAGCAGCACCACGGAAGCATTTATTAGCACTGCCGCGACCATGTGCTTGCATATGTCTATGGCAACCTACTGCTCGCAGTGAGAAATTGTGAACTTTGCTTGGCGTTGAAGATGGTCTGGTCCTCATCTTCTCTGGCGGGCGAACTCTGCCCTTGCGCTGCCTGGAAGCCTCGCATCCTTAAGCATGACAGGCGGTCCGCCGCAAACCCCTCGGACCGCATCATTGCACAACCCTGAACCCATCGACTCATGAACCACTGAGATTTTACTCATATATATATATATATATATGTATATACGTACATACATTATACATATTTTATCGCTGCGGCCGAGCCATGACCCGACTTCCAGTTCAGGTGTATATCTTGGAGGGCTCCAACCCGAACATACCATACGAAGGGTACAGGCACAGTACAAGCAGGCAACCTCCAAGCCAGAAACAATTCAAACTGGCATCGGCGACATCACAACATCCAGATGCAAAAAGCAACCGCAAGAACCACCAACATCCACAAATGCAACACAACCCAACTCAATACTCCACACTGTGTGCTCGACTGAGCCGCCTCGCGCCACATCGCCAAACATGCGCAAACGGACTCACCAGTGCAGGAAACATCGCGCCCACAGCCACAGTCGAAAAACTACACCCACACACACAGACATCCCCACACCGGGGAGATCTGATGGGCCTTCGCCGACCAGCCGGGATCAAACAGCGACTTTTTTGTTCCTTGGATCGTTGCGCTGCTTTCCTCGGCCAGGGTTTGGTCAATGTCTCATCCTCGGAACGGCACAGAAAGACAAATGGATGCACGGGAGCATGTACGAAATCCATACTGTTGTTCAGCTTCATGCTGAGACATCGGCCTTTCGAGCTCGGCTTCAGAAACATCGCCTCCACACAGACACACACACACACACACACACACACACGCACACACACAGACACGCACAAACACACACGGACATGCACACACAGACATACACACACACACACACACACACACACACGCAGACACAGGCACACCACACAGAGACACACACTTACTTAGACACAGGAACAAACACAAACACACAGACACGCAGACACGCAAACACACACACACACACACAAACAGCACGCACACACTCTCTCTCCCTCTCTCTCTTTGCTTTGCTTTGCTGGGGGGTGTGGGCCGCAAGCAGTCCTTGCGACCCGCGCTTCAGCGCGACCCCATCCAACATAGTGTCCGGATGGGCTTGGGTGTACACGGAACTGATTGACAGAATGGGTGCCCGTACTAGTTTGCGATCAAACCTCACAAAGGGTAGCTTCAGGTCAGGTGTGTTAGGCCAGCGAGTTCCCCTTTACTCTGCTTGAAAGCTGGTGCCCTCGAACTGGGGTTTTGGGCGGTTGCCCACAATACTTCTTTATGAAACCCGCCTTGCCTCCCTAATCCCTGCAGCCCGAACAGGAGCCTTATCCCCGCGCACCCACTGCCTGTGACCTTCCGCTCAACCCTGAAGCCTTTGCACTGGTGCACTCACGTCGTCAGACAAACTCAAACAAACGCAGACAAAGGTGTGCCTACCGGGGCCTGGACAAGATTTGGCCTCGAGTGCACCTCTTTCACAGGTGCCTTTTTGAAAGAGGTAGGCAGGCACTCAGCGCCGTCACCACTTCTTCAGCAGGGCATAAGGGTCGGGTTAGGCCCCCCGGCCTCATGGGCCCCCCATTTGTTATGGGGCTTTCGGTGGGGCGTGAAAAAGCAACATCAATTCCCCCAGATGATGCAACAGAGTATATTGGACTATGAATGACTGGGTTCATTGATGTTGGGCTGACACGTGCGCGATCCTTTCGCGACTTTGGGGGCATACAATAAAGGCCGTGACGGCACTCTCTCTCTCTCTCTCTTTCTTTCGCCAGGGCCATGGCAAAGGGGTAGTCCCCCTCCCGCTCTCTCGCTCTCTTCGCTTCGGGCCAAAGCATGCCAAGGCCCCCCTTTCCCCTCCGCGTTGGTGGAAGAAAGGGCTTTGGGGTCAGTGGAAGGGTTTGCTTCCAGCAGTCGGTTTGACAAGTAGTATGCGTCCATCCATCACCCCCGACCCTGTACACTAACGCGCATCCCGGCCTCATCCCCGCGCCCTCTAAGGCAGCTCCTTAGACCCTCGATGGACGCTTTCCCCCGGCAGTGCCCTACGGTAGGTAGTCTTCCCCTTTTGCAACAAGCAACAAAACTAAGCCGACAACGTAAACCTAGTTCACAGTGTTGGGGTAGGCGGACTACAAAAGGCGTAAGCAGCTGCAAGCCTGCGAAATCCCCGCTTTGGTAATATCGAGCAACAGCAAAGAACCTCAAAACGTGCAAGTGACGAGGACAGCTCCGTTCATGGAGGTGCTGTAGTGTACGGTAGCAGTGGGAAGTCGTGGTCGTCCCTGTCGGGGTCCCCCGCAGTATGTCGACCCTCAAGACTCTAACACGAATTTGCTGCGAGTGTGTTCCCTCAGAGCTTCTAATTTTGGGCACTCGGCCCATGCACGGTGGTGTGTTATGGCTCAGCGGCCCGTCCTATTACTTAGGCTGCAAGTAGGCTGCCCAATGTCGTGCAAGCTAGGGGGCCAATCAAGAAGCACAAACACCATTAAAATCCCCCCCCAAACACAAGCTAACTCTTCACTCGCGGTCGGCTCCCCTGCAAAACTGTGGCGCTCACGCTAACTTGGAAGGGCGGCAAGTTTGCTCTCCCCCCATGCTTAGTGTCCAGGCTCACGCTCAGTACGGGAACTTGTCGGTGTAGCTCTCTCTCGTTGTGCGGCCATGTGTTCTTGTACCCTGCGTACTTGCCAGGCAAGGTTTGGGGCGAGGCGTACAGGAACCCTCTCTTCCCCCCGTCGTGGCTGTAGCGGTCCTTCGGCGGGCTCGTGCGGCCTCGTGGTGGCCGTGTCTGGTCTGGCCTTCTGAGGTGGCTCCCCGGCCGGCTCGTTTGGCTTGGCGGCAAGCCCCTCTGTACCATCGCTCCTGTCCGACGGCCATTGGTTCTCCAACATCTCGTCTCTCTCTGGGCTTGCACTGTTCGTGCCCCCCCAGTCGGGTGGTGTATCTTCCAACGCACTGCTCTCCTTTTTCACACGCTTAACAGTCTTGTCCTCCTCCAAATCCCCCAAACTTGCGGCTTGGGCCTCCCCCTCTGCTCGCGCCTTGGCTCCGTAGTTGGGTTCCCCCGAGGCACTTGTGGAATGCGCCCCCTTGCGTCTTTTCTTTCTCTTGGCCCGCATCTTCTTCCGGATCTTCCACGCTTTCGCCAACATCTTTTTGACCTGGTCGGGGTACTTCATCACATATACCCGGTTTTCGTCTGCGACCTTTGGTAAGTACTTGTCCACGATCTTGACCAGGCGGTCTGCCATTCCCCCCACCCTGTATCGTTCGACCGTTCTTTCAAAGTACTGGGTGTACTCAGCCTCCTCCCCCGCGTCGAGCAGCTGCGTAGTTTCCATGTTTCTTCACAGGGTTCGACTGCTTTCCCAATCCATCTGTCCATGGGTGCTGGGTCGTATAGCAAGTGCATTCCCCCGTGGGTGACGTAGGCGGTCTTCTGGTTGAGAGGCATGCTCTCAGGGCTTGCAGCGAGGCTTCTCCCGTCTCTCGGTTCCCTCACTGCGGGTGCTGCAAGTGGTGCAACCCCCCTTGCTCCCCTTTTGCTGGGAGGTTAGGTGCTGGCTGTGTACATCGGCCTTCTCGTCCGTGCAGCCTGCATCTTGGGTCTTCTCGCACATGCACTTTGCGAAAACCCAGTTGACACACCCCTCCTCCAAGCCTGCATATACGACATTGTCGGTCCCCCACCATTGCTGCAAACTTTGCTATCTTCTCGGCCTTGCCACTATCACGATCCCTGGGTCACAAAGTTCGCCACCCAGTCAAGAGGTAGGATCTGGAAGCTCGTCCCCTTCGTTGGAAAGGAGGTTGGTGGCACAGTGCGTCGCCTCCCCCGGACAAGGCAATCGGTGAAGCTCTTGCAGTCCCGAAGTCGCACGGTAGGCTGTAGAGCGGCAAACTTGTCGAAGACGAATATGGCGCTACTCCCTGACTTAAGCAGAAACGCGGCGGATATGTGACTCAAGCGCCGCACGAGTGAGACCCGTACCCCTGCGATCCCTTGCGCTCTCGCGCTACGCTGGTGTCCGTGTCCGGTGTCAGCGTGACTCTCTTGCTTGCACGCAGCCAAGGGGTCGGTCTCCCTCCAGCGTGACTCTCTCTCTCTCTCTCTCTTTCTTTCTTCCGCCAGGGCTGAAGGAAGGGTGCGACCCCTCCCCTCGCCCGAGTGTGCCGGAAGGCAGGATTGAAATTGCTGTATAGCAGCCCATAAAGTATCTCGCTTGGCCCACCGCGAATTCGTTTTTTCAAAGTGCAGCTTCGGCTTTCAATTCCGAACGCTTCCGTGGACGGGGAAGCCCTTTTAGCGAAGAGGATTGAAGCGCCGTGCAGACGAGGCAGCAGGGGGGGCTCGGGGCCTGGAGCACTCGTGGCTTGAGCCAAAAGCAAAAATTTCTCTCGCGCGCTCTTTCTGCGGGTCTGGAAAGAACGTTGCTACAAGTACCAGCCTCCCCTTTCTGGGGCCCGGGACTGTCGTTCTCTGGGGCCTAAGTCGGGTCAAGACCCTGTCCACCTCTTTTCTTGCTTGCTTCCGGGAACGGACATGCCTTCCCCCAACGGACACCCTTCCTAAACATGCTCAGGTCCCACTCGGGTCATCCACAGTTTCCTGAAGTGAACTGGCAGGAGCAGGCTCGGAGTGACACAACAGTCACGTGACACGTTACCGCAGACATGTGTAAACCAAACGACAGAAGCTTCTCTCTGTCGCTCTCGCTGAGCTAAAGCGAAGCGGACATTTGACTCATGTTACGTTGTAACATGTTCTAAACTCGAAGCCCCAGATGCTGAACTCTTGCCAGGCTTACCAACACGACATCTGACGTCGCCTCAACCCTCTTTAACTCTGCCCCAAACTCAGGAACTCTTTAGAAAAAATCAACTTGCCCCAGACACCCCGCCTCGGTGAGCACTTCCGCGCGCACCTCAGCCGCCCGCAGCGCACGGGCCTGCGGCTCTTCACATGACTGTTCAGCCCATTCTGACATATTTCGATTTTAAAGTTACGTTGAAGTGGCATGGGGAGCATGCTTTGGAGAATCTTGGGTGATGGGTATCGGTGATCTTTGCTGAAGTAGAGAACCCATTGATTCCCCATCAGTACGTGTGAGAAGTCCAGACGTCACCTGCAGCAGTGTTTTCTAAATGGCGCCTCGGGATTAACGCATAGTAAAGCCATCATCTTATTGCGGGGATTGACGAGCGAGTGCTGTCTTGTTACCTGTGACGCGTGGCAAGCAAAGGAGGGACTCGGGGCGAGCTTGGAGATGTCTGCCACTAGACAAAGGCAACGACTATATGTACGAGCTTGACAGGTGCACGCTACATGGAGTCTGCTGCCGCACTCCACACACCTTTGCCACGTTCTCGTCGGTGGCAAAGCCAACGCCAAGGGCCAAGGGCCGATAGGGTGAACTCCTGAGTGGAATTACAGGCGGCGTTTCGAAAAGCAGAAGGGAGTCGAAGGTTCCGAACGCCGAGGCCCGCACTCTCCCCTCTTGTCATCCTTTCCTTTCCGAATGGCCTTCACAACGGCCAAATACCATCGCAACCTAAGGAGTCCGCCAAGCTTTTGGGCTTCCTCGAGCTGTGCGGAAGAATCAGGCGCAAAAAAATCCATCGCTGACAAGTCTGGGTCAGAATTGTCGTCTTCGTAGGCTGCATAGGAAGTGATCACGCAGCTGCTGGGGTTGCTAAACTCCAGGTCCACAGACTGGGATCCTTTGCTGCCAGTAGTGGCTAATCTGTTGGAGATCATGCCCTTGAGCTTGTCCAAAGATGTGTCCTGGTTGACATCTGCTTCGGCTGATTCCGACACTTGGCACCATGTCCTGAGGTCGGCCTCGCTTTTGCTTGCAAGCAGCTGCTCGACTTGAGCAAGCAGCTCACGTGCACACTCACGTTGTCGATCCTTCTGCTTCTGTGGCTGTCGAGATGCTGCCATTAAGAAGCCGAAAGAAGAGCGGCTTTTGGAGCCACTACCCGTCGCCAAGATGAGTACTGTCACGTTGGGATTGCTCGCTGGCCGCTGTGGTGGATCCATAGCCTCAAGCCAAAACATGTTCCAAGCTTTGTGCGCTTGCACATGTTGGAGTAATTTTTTGGTAGGATCAGGAGCCGTCTCTTTGGGTCTCTTGTCGAGTCGATCATTCCGATCTCGCCCATCACGCGGACGCTTCCTGTCGTCGCGGCGATTCGGGGATGGTGCTCGGTCGTTCCTTTCGTTTGGTCGGTCAGTTGGGGGACCTGGCGGGGGCGGGTAGGGAGCAGGATAACCGGGTGGGCCGGGTGGAGGTGGGTAGCCATACGGCTGTGGGTAGGCATACGCTGGAGCCTGGTAAGCTGGGTATGCATGGGCATAGTGGCTGTAATCTGGTTGTGGTACCGGCGCAGGTGGTCTGGCTGGGTCGTTGTATTGGGCGGGAGGTGGCGCATATGCCTCCGCAGGCGGATATGCTGGATATCCCGGCGCTGGCTGTGGAGGATAAGTTGGAGGGTAGCCAGCTGGAGCTGGAGCTGGAGCGGGAGTGGGCGGGTAGCTGCTTGCAGGAGGGTAGGAAGCTGAAGCACTGTAGTCGGGAGCAGGTGCTGGTGCAGCCTGTGCAGCCTGCGCAGGCGGTTCGGACGGGGGATAGGCTTGTGGCTGAGGTGGGTAGCCGTAGTACTGTCGATAATAATCATAGTAGGGATCTGGCTGAGATGGAGGGGCGGCTTGGGGAGGTGGCTGCGAGTAATAGTCGGCAGCTGGAGCTGGGACGGCTGCGGGGGGTGCAGCAGGAGGAGCACCATCAGCTGGTCGAGCCTCCGGTCTTTCTTGACCGTAGTTTTGCTGCGGCGGGTATGCGTAAGCCTGTGGGTCATAGTTTGGAGGGTACGCCGCCGAAGTCGGATAAGCTGGATAGCTGGGTGGATAGGACATAGTCAGCCGCTTGCATCTGCGCTTTTGCTGGATCCAGTTCCCCTCCTTTTCGCTGAAGGCTTGAGCATGCACGGCAATCGCACATTCAACAAAGATTTTTGACGTGTTCTTACTGCCGTGCGTATACCGAAACATGCTTGCATCATGGAGCTTGGGATTGAACACTGCGTCTTTGTGCTGACGGTTCTCTGCCTCTCTGCCCAAGGAGACACATTTTGCACGAGGCATGTGTTCTTCATTCACTCGGCGGTGCGCTTCAGCTTCCAACACATCAACCTGGAGTCAGTTCGCTTGGTGATGCATCTGCCTGACAATCTCCACCTGCCTGGCAGTCCAGCTTCGACTCGCTGCCAAAGCTGCAAGGTGCCATCCTAAAAGCAGAATCTGAACTAATCGAAGACACTTCTCAAACCGTCTCCAACATGCTGACACGACAGCTTCGGCAACTCATTTAAGCAAACGGCAGTGTGTTCGCACTAGCAATTGGACGAAGATGTGTTGATACATTTTTTGCATGGTCGCATCGGTGATCCAAAGAAGCCGGAACGCAAGTTACGGCGTTACGGCCTGAAGGAAGTGCACACCGCTCTCAAGAAGAGTCTTGTGACTTGTGCCACAACCAGTCATTTCTGGAGCCTTCAGCAGACCTCCTTTCATGACAGGGCCACGAGGAAATAGCCATGTTTGGGACAAAAACCTCGCAAGATGTCGAACCCGCTGCAGTGGAGGTGTTGCATGGTTTTGCACATAACAAAGCGAGAAATGGTGATCATGCCTGTCAGTGGTGACATTTTAATGACTTTAGTCTACAGGACCCAGAGCCTGCGATGTAAGTTTGACTTGCCAAGTCGTAGCCCTAGCCACATTCTCCCAAACCTCCATTGACCATTGAATGTGCCCTCGCGCTGCTGCCTGCGAGCCGATGAGGAAAATCCCGTCATGCCCGGCACAAAGTAAGCTGTCAATCTTTTGACCTGGCACGGCCCACTGGAGAATTCTGGCAGCGAACACAAGAAATCACCACAGGAGCTTGCATAGTTAGCTGCCAGCTTTAACAGCAGACTCACCTGAGTAACATGCTCGAGCTATTTGTACCGGAATGGTCCGGAACGTGCACTTACGCTTTCCTAAGCGAATCGAAGCAGTGCCGTGAAGGGCGAACCCTGTGCATCCCACGCCATGAACTCAATCCTCGCAGCACAGCCTGGCAGAGCTTGGAACTCGGTCTTGAACTCAAAGGTTGGCAACACGATGGTGCTCACCTGCTCGAGTCTCCCGAAATTGATGGGGTCTGGAGGATAGTCAAGAGAGCGGAAGACTTACGCGAGCTTCGACCTTGAGCTCAGCAACAAGACAAAACCTTCAGCTGGGGCCTGTCCACGAGCATGGGCGCACAGCACGCGTGGCCCAGACTCCAAACCTGCCTCAGTCGTGCAGGACATGTCCTGATGTGGCAGCTGCCACAGACTGTAAGAAATGCTCCAAGCGTGACTACAAACGGCCGCCGTTTTCTCACCCAGCTGCGAGGCGCAGGATGGGTCCCGCTTCCAGTGAGGCTGTCTCAGACTTCAAGTTCCCCTCGCCATCGAAGATCTTCAAGTTGCCCTCTGCATAGGCCTAGAACGTCAGCAAGAATTTGGTTTTTAAACATTCCGGGTGTAAAATGTGCGTCAGATGCGTCATGAGCTGAGAGGGAAAGAGGCAGGGACTTAAGTGGCAGGAAGCGCGTGTGAGCAAAGGAGCAACGAGACTTTGCAGGGCAGAGACCACTCCTAACTTCCCAAGCTTGGATCCTCGTTATTAAGCCATGTGGCGAGTGCTGGCTGGCACTACTACCGCAGGACGAAAGTTCGCCACACTGCCTCTAGCTCCACATATGTAGTAGTGCCACCCCCTTTCCCCCCTAGACTCCTCCACAAGATCTCCAAGGCTCTCCGCGAGAACATTATAATAGTAGTATAATTTTATTCCAGGGAATTAACTACTCCGCCACGCTGGCCACGTAAAACGGACTTCTGGCCTCTCCGCTTCTCCGCGACACATGTACATGGTACTTTGAGACAATCCTCCGTATGTCGAAAATTTTGTCCCGGTGATGTAGAAGGGGTAGGAGTGCAAGGCATCCAATCGTAAACGAAGCGGGCACATCAGCAGTTGTTCGTGCATGCTCAAGTAGCGGGGGACGTCGGGCAGGTGCAATCAATCGAACGAGGAACTGCTGGATACAGCAGGGGCACGGAGTGACAGGGTGGGGCGACGCCTTCTTATTGACGTCAGAATCACACTGAGGCCGGTGCCACGATGATGTGGCCTTGAAACTCCAGCATGTCCACGACTGCTTTTGTGGGTGGCAAGAGCTTTGTGACCTGGCCAGGGTGAAAATGCTGGCCCCGGCTCTCCCCGGTCAAAGCATTCAACTTGCCAGCGACGGTCCAGGTTTCCAGCTTCTGGGATTTCTGACGCGGAGTTCTTCGTGCACCCTGCTCGCCCGCAATTCTTTTACACCTCCTGGCTATGGTGTGTTTCACACAAATTTCGAGGAGGGTCATAATTTGGCCAGGAAAGCCTGTTTTTCATGCCGACGGCCTTTTGGAATCCCAAAGACGCAACAAGGAAATGTTCCTTACTTCCAAGTCTAAGTTGCCTTACATCACAAATCACAAAGGCCAAAAGCTCCACAAGTTCCCAGCTCGGGCCCCCGGGTCCGGACATGGGCAGTAAGTTATGCCATGACCTGGCATTTGGCGTCAATTTCGGGCATAGCGCGTACAGATGTGCCCAGCGATCCCAGCACATACACTTAGTCGTGTACATTGGATTGGTCCCGGTTCGGCAGTGAAAGCCTTACGCTTCTGGTCATGCAGCAAGAAGTCAAAACCCTGAAGCACCACCGAGAAAACCAAAGGACGACCACACCAGGTTCAAAATATTCGATATCTCAGGAGGTGAGTAGGTGGTGCAATCTGGTCGCTGCTGTGCTGGCAATGATCTTGGAACTCTGCGAAGCCAAAATTGAAAAGTGACGATGCTCGTTGCTTGGTCGAGTTCCACTCAAAAGGATGCATTCGAGAGCAGCGCTAACTCGTGCCGGAGATCGGGGACAAATGCGATGATTTTCGTCTTGCTTCAAGCAAACGCTCCACTCAGCATCAAGCCAAGCCTTCAGCGTGGCCAAGTCCAGCATCGCCAGGCCATATTGGCCTCCGACCTTACCAGGGTGCGCTGCTGGGAAACCCTCCGTGCCTGCTGCCGGGATGTGAGGGCTCTCGGCTCCATGCGAAAAGGAAGCTTCCAAGCACGTGGATCTTGCTGATGGAGCCAGGCCTGCAAATATATGTCGGCACACCCCACATCTGTCACCTTTCTCTCTCTGAGCTGAGATGACGACAAGCTCTCTTCGAGCGTGTGGGTGCAGTTGAACTTCTTGGTCGCTTGGTCCATTTGCCACAGCCGTACTTCTCGGTCGTAACTTCCCGACCTTTGATGATGTCATGCTGGATCACCACAGTCACTCGCTGTTTCTTCTTCTCTTCTTTCAGGTTGAAACGACCCTCAAGCCCACAAGTGTCCGTAGACACACCGATTACGCAATCCGGAGACCGAGGAGGAGGAGGAGGAGGAGGAGGAGCGGAACGTCGGTCACCATACTTACCTTCTCTGTCGTATTCGGTCACATCCGGCATTCTGGCATCCCCACATGTCAACGCACGGACGCTCGCGCAAACACTACGCCACCGGACTGACGGAGCACACCTCATGTTGAAGCACAATGTCGAATTCTCTACTGCGATCCTCTTTCACCACGTCTGAATGAATGTCTAGAAACGGGTATTGTATGCTGCATTCTGGGAAACTCCCGCGGTGACTTAATTCAATGCCTGTTGCCCGTGCTACGATGCTCAAGGATTACACATGCCAGCCTCCGCGTGTGGTCCCAGCACTAGCTCATGAGAAGAATCCAAGCGCATTTGTGCTCATGCTGCCGTTGCCGTTTCGTGATCGTGCGATCAATGTCGTGGAAAAGCCCCAAGCCAAACTGACGGACCGAAACGCACACGGGCATGACATCCTGAGGACCTTGGGAAGTTGCTTTCAGCTCTGCTACTTTCAGCTCTTATCTCTCTCGCTCTCGCTCTCGCTCTCTCTCTCTCTCTCTCTCTCTTCGCTTCGCGAGGGATAGGTCCGAAGACCCGGGCCAAGGCCCCCCCCCTCCCTTCCGTGGTGGTGGAAGAGGGGCATTGGGGTCGAGTGCACGGGGTTGTTCCCACGGTATGTACGTGCGGTAGAGAGCGTCTGGCGTTTACCCCCAAACCCTGAACTTTAGCCCGCGTCCCGGCCTCGTCCCCGCGCCCTCTATGGCAAAATCCTTAATACCTTCGCCAGACGCCTCCCCCATGTGTGCTCTACGTTTGGTGGCAGATCCCCCTTTCTGCAGTACAAACAAACAACTGAGGACAGGGCGATACAGGACCATAAAGCAAACAACTAGCATGTTTGAGTATTGTGGGGCTGCCATGGGTCATTCCCCCTTTATAGAAAATAAAAGGCCGGTTGAATTATTTCTTCAAGTATTGCAGTAGTCGGAAGTAGTGTCGAATTATTGTGGCGGTCTCTCTCTCTCTCTCTCTTCTTCTGCAGGGCTTAAGGGGCTGGTCAGGCCCCCTTGGCCTCGTGGGCCCCCCGTTTGTTACGGGGCTTTCGGCAGGGCGTCTCTCTCTCTCGCTCTCTGCGATGTTGTGTGCCTTCTGGTCTTCTGGTGCTTTGGGATATAGTCTGCCGTGTACAAGTAATGTACAAAGCAGTGCATCGGCTGCTCCATCCATTCCAATACAGGAGCTTGTCTGGCATGGCAAACGTGGCTAAGACATGAAAGTTCTTGCCTCGCTGTCTTCTTTTAAAGCGCGGCAGTCCAATCTGGAGACCCGAGCCTCCTTCTGGATCCCTCTAAAAAAACCATCTACGTATGTTGAAAGAACCTCCTTGCGTGGTTCAGGGTCCAAAGGAGTTCTTGACAAGTCAAACAGGAAACTGTGAACATACGCCCAAGTAGATATGATTACAAGCAGGTTTGACTGGTTTCAATTCATCTCTCGATCGAAAGTCTCAAGGCTTGGGTGCCGACATGAGCACACCCTGATGTACGGCAAGTGTTGTAACCTTGAGAGCCACTGAGGCTCCAAGAGAAAGTCTGAGCACGACGTAAGCTTCATTATGCGAGCGCAGATGAAGAAAATTACGCGCAGGTGGCAAGCGCCTACTCTGAGATACGAGCCCGCTTGGAGTGGCCTTGGAGGATCGCTTCTGTGCCATCCTGGGCAAAAGCCTGTACCTTTCGACGTGCAAAACAAAAAGACTCCAGTATGTACCATGAAACGAACAGACATCCAAATCGTGACACTCAGAAGTTTGAAAGTTTGAATTAAAGTCTTCGAAAGTTCACAGGCCAACCTTCAGCAGCCATGCCTTCGTAGAAAGCAATAAGAAACAGCATTTATCTTTTGGAGTGTTGGCTTTGCATGCATTGGCCGTAATTTCAGATTCTGTTGCCACTGCATCGTTCGTAACCAAAGCACACGCGACTTCAGCGGGCACAGCAACTCGCAGTCACCAATTTCAACACGGCACTCTCTCCGTAATGGGCCTGGAATTGATTTGGGATTTACTTTTTTTTTTTTGATTGTTTTTTTTGGGGCTGTGTGCTTGGCCTAAAGCATAGGAAAGTAGCTTGTCTTCCTGCGTTTTACAAAGGAAAACGCGATTTTCCGTACATTTTGGACGGAATCCTGCGTTTTTTCCTAGGAAAGACACTACTTTCCTACGGATTCTTTGTTCTTTCCGTCGGTTTTGCTTGGTCTTTCCTCGGGAAAACACTATATTCCTACGGATTCTGTTGGGGGTGGGGATACAGCCCGCAGCAATGCTGGCACGCCCCTTCATGATTTGAGACGTCCTGGAAGGTGGCGTAAGAAAAAGTACACAATATGATACTATACCGTATCAAATAATGGAATATGTTATAATATAATATACTTCAGTATAATGTAATATGATAAGAAATACAACTTAATATGATACAATAAAACGCAATTTGCGTAATTTGACACAACATATACAAAATAGTCAAAGAAATATATGATTAATAAACTAAGTTGTACTATATGAATGAATATATATATATATATATATATATATATATATATTTTACAATGTATCATAGTATGTCATATCACATTTTATGAAAATATATTTCTGTATATTTTAATGTTTCTTGTCATGTTATTTTATATTATCAGATATACTTAATTATAGTAGGTTATGTTATACTACATTATGTTGTGTGATGTTAAATTATATATATATATGTATATATTCACATTTTTTAAATTGAACAACATCCCGCCAGCAAAGGCAGAATCCATATGGACCGTTTCAGAACACGTCATAAAGACATCGTGTTTGCAAATGGGGGGGGGCTGCCCCAACCCCCCCGCTTTCTTTTTAAGCCGTGCAGGCTTGCTTTCAAGAACATTACACCATGAACAAGACTTGCACCAAGCACACAATTGTTTTAGAGCTTTCCAAAACTCATCATACAAGCATTCTGTTTCCAATCGGGGAGGTGCGTCCCCGTTTTATACCGCTTCAGGTATCATCTTGCCAGCAAAGACAGAACCCATATGGACCCTCTCAGAAACCGCCATAAAGACGTTGTGTTTGCAAATGGGGGGGGGCTGCTGCGCCCCCCCTAACCCCCCCCGCTTTCTTTTTCAGCCGCGCAGGCTTGTTTTCAAGAACATCGCATCATGAACAAGACTTGCATCAAACACAAAGCTGTGTTAGAGCTTTTCAAAACTCATCATAAAGGCATTCTGTTTGCAAAAGGGGGTGAGTCATTGTATTGTTTTATATCATGCCATAGGGAGTTATATTGTACTAAATCATGTGATTTTCAGTATATCGAGTCGTATCAGAGTATATCATCTTTTAGTACACTGTAGAATATTGTCATATGATAGTATATTAGTATACTACATGATGTTACATTTTATGTTGTTATATCAAACAAAGTTATATCAAATATTATCGCATCATATCATATTGTATCATATTCTATCATATCATATCATGTTATACTCTACATTTCACCATATTGTATTAAGTTGTATTATATTATATAATGTATTGTTCTATGTTATATTAGACCACATTCCATGACATTATGATAGAATGTTGTATTACATTGTGTTACATTATTCCGTTGTATGAGTATGATTTATATTTCATCATGTAGTATCATATTATGTTTTGTTGTGTCATACTATGTTATGTTATGTTATGTTATGGTTCGTTCTTTTATGTTTTTTTATTCGACTAAGTTATAATGTATTATGTTGTCTTTCATTACTGTTTTTCTCATTTTGCACCATATTGTATAATATAGTGTTTCATTTTTATATTGTATCATATTTTATCATATCATATTCTATTTTGTTCTATTGTATGGTATAATATAACAAAGCAAAAAATATGTACACTATGACCTAATATGATAGAATATAATACAAGATACTAGAAGATAATATACTTTACTATTCATATATATATATATATACATGTAATTTAATATAACATAGCATATTATAATGCAGGAAGCTATAAGAAGTCGAAAGGCGGCCGAAAAGCCAAGAAGCCACCTCTGCTCACCCTTGCTTCGAAAGGTATACTTGTAACCTTCTATACTTACTATACATCCTGAAAACTGGAGAGGACCAGGGGCTTCACCGGACCAGGGGACCAAGAAGACTAAGGGACCAGGGGACAAGAGGACCACGGGACCAAGGGGACAGGAAAAAAAGGGTAGCAAAAACAACCAACAAAACGTAGTGAAGAAACATGCCCTCCGTTAAAAAGCCGAGAGGCCGAAAAGCCAAGAAGCCTAGGAAACCAAGATGCCAGGGAGCTATACAAGACTAGGAGGCAGTATGCTCCGAAAGCCAAGAAGCCAAGGAAACCAGAATTGCGAGAAGGCAGTATGCTCCAAGTTACGATACTAGAAGAAGTCGAGGGGGCATCGAAAAGCCAAGAAGCCAAGGAGACCAAGAAGCCATGCACGACAGGAAGGCAGGAGAACCGCACGCGCATGCACACAGACCAAAAAAACACAAAAAACACAAACATACAACAAATAATATGCCTCCCTCCGTAATTGCCGTTAGAGGAATCGACTGCTCAAGGAAATCGGCATCTCGAGTGCGCCGCAGAGCCTGCCTACAAGAAGTAGCATCAGGTCTCTTGCTTTGCATTCGGCCGGCGGCCTGCCCATCCCAAAGGCCACAGAAGAGCCAACCACCGCTGAAGAGCAACGATGTTGCCGACTCTTTGAGCTTCACCTGGAGAGCACTTCGTGTGCAACGCAAACCCGCGTTCTGCTCTTTGCTCTCGAAAGATGTTGCCCCCAGGCCTGCAGCTCAGCTTCGAGTTCGTATTTGCCTGGGGAGCTCATCTTTGGCTTCCAGCGTTTCATCGTCTTGTCCTGGCTGACAGTGTAGATCCCTTGCTCGCTCATGGCCTCAGAGACAGCAAACGAACAGGTAGGTGATGTGAGAAACAATGAAAAGTCTGACAACCCATCAAGATTATATAACGAGCATTCAGCATTCACAAGTCTCCCATGACTCTGCTCCTTTGCTGCCCTGTCTGCTGCCATTTTCCCGTCTGTTCTCTGTCCATCCGCTACAGGTAGGGCGTCTCCTTCCAGCCATGGTACCATGGCTTGGATCGAGGATCCGTGTGCGCCAGTGATCTCGCAATGCCGGCCGATGGCATCGGCATCCACCCGCACAACTGCGGGCTTACCTCGGGGCCGCCACTCCTTGCCATGCTTGCCCTTGCCCTCGCCTTTGCCTTTGCCTCAGTCAACAAAGGACATTCGAGATGCAAGAGCGACAACCTTGCGCGTGCGAGGACATGCCCGTGGTTCCGCTCAAATGTTTAAGCAGCTGTGTTGCCCCAGGAGCCACCGCGGCGAGACTTCAAAGCCTCATTGGAAACTGCATGGGAAGACAATGGTCTACGTTTCCCCTGTCTTCTCGCTCTGTCGTGCAGGCCCAGTTATCGATATCCACTTCTGTCGAGGCTCACGTGGCACAAAGCTTGAGATACTGTTCCAGGCGCTCTACTTTCGTGCAGAAAGGTGGTTTCGCTGTCAGGCTGTAATTACGATCTTTGCTTACATCAATACAAATTCAAAATCGAGACGCAGAAGTAGCTGAGCTGATCTTGTCGCTGCTTGCGTGGCTATGACTTCAGGTTCTTCTCGATCGCAACTGGATTTCGACGAGAGCCAAGTTTAAAAGCACAGCAGGGGGGAGATACAAGGACGGGGAGCAAAAGAAGGTCCTTCCGCACTTGACTATGAGGTTTCTCTAAGCTGAACCAACTCGTGACGACACAATGCTCACTGTTGGTTAATGATTGCGGTTGGAGCCCATCCCAATAACGTAATACTGCTCCATCTGAACTTGTTAGGTCGAGACAACAAACCTGCCATCTCAAAAGTTGCTGCAGAGGCGCAGAATCTGATTTCAGGACGTGCCTGGTGTCATGGCCCCAGTGCGCAGAGGTAGAGCCTCAAGGACTGAAGGTACACAATAAATCTGCGAGGATGATTTCGCAGCATCGTCGGTGCAATCGAGGGACCACCTCGACCTCGGCCTCGGCCTCGAGTGCGCCAGTTCCCCCCTCGGGAGAGGGCACTGACGGCGCCCCACGTCCAGCTCCCGTCGCCGGAGCTCTTTGAGCCGCCCCTCCCACTCCCACGTGCACCTCGCCCTTTACCACGCTCACCACGCTCCATGGCGTCGATGGCGAGGGCGGTCTTCGCCCGGAGGGAGGGGGAGGGGGGGGGGGGGGGAAATTTCACCCCCCCAATGTCTCACATCATTCTCCAGCCAAGCAGGTTGCAGCAACAGCCACGCAGCTTCAGAGCAAGCATTGACTTCTCCCGCTGTGTAAGGCAAACGAGATGCTGAAATTCTCGTGCCGTCTCGGGTCAGGGTTTCGTCTGGGTCTACACGATTTCACAATCTATGCCAAACATGCCCCTCAGCATCAAGAACACAAACTTTAACTTGGGCATTCGTTGCAGTAGCAACTCAGTATGTAGTGCAGGCAGATGCAGGCAGTGTCTGGCGCAGCATGTCTGCAACCACGCAACATGCTGAATGCAAGTCTGACTTTGCTGAAGACTGGCAGCCTCCAGCAGCAATAGGTTTCTGATGGTTTCTGGCTTCCGCATCGCAAAGCTAAGCTTACTCGTCCTAGAATTGGGAGATCGACTGGCATGGCTGATGCACCAGCCCCTCACTCTACTCTACTCCACGTATCTGCTTTCACGCCAAGTACTATGAGTTGCTAGTACCTCGAACCCTGCCAATCCGATCAGCCGCTGCCATGTTGTGGTTCCGTCACGGAGCACAAAGGCTTTTCAGGTTCACGAACATTTGGCAAGGGTGGATCTCGGGCAGGTTGCCTTAATATCCATCTCGCTTCTCAGACTTGCAAAGAGAATGGAGATCCACCCCGATAAGTTCTGAAGAACATTCGCAGAAACTGCGTACAAAGCCGGAGAAATTGTTGTCAAGGCAACATTGCAACATCGAGCATATCCATAGCAGGCTCCCGGCAACGGGCTACTCACTCCATATGCAACACTGCAACAGACCTGTGACAATGTTGCAATGTCTGATGATTTCAGCAGTTCGCCGGATCGTCATTGTTGAGCTATTTGTCAAGCATCGTTGCCTGGCCGCAAGGCGAAGGATTGCTGTCGCATGCCATGCTCTCGCTCCATCTCGCGCCTGCTCCACTCCCTCCCTCGATTCTCCCTCGCTCGCTTGCTTCAGAGCAAAGGTACGCGAGCGCGCCTCCCCGCAGGGGATCTGTCCGTCCGGCGTCCAGCGCCCAAAATCAACGTGAGACAGCGCACGGTTCCCCCGCAGTATACCCCTTTTATTCCCTTTAAACCCACCCCGAGCCTCCATCCCGAACCTCGCACAACTGCGCTGTCTGCCTGTTGCCTACCTGCCTACCTCCCACCCCTCAAACCTCGCCGCACTCCCAGCTCTCTCTTCTCTCTCTCTCTCTCCCCAGGCTTGAGAGCGAGCCCCAGCGGAAGCTGCCCGTTCTTTTGCTTTGCTCAGGGTGTGAGGCGGGAGCAGTCCTCCCTCTCTCTCCTGCTCTCTCTCTCTGTCTCTCTCCTTCTCCCCCCCGGCACTAAAGCCCGCCCCTTTTTACGGGCTGTTAGAGGGGGGTGAAAGTTTGATGATTGTTCTTGACCGAAAAGGCAGACGAGACTGTAGTGAAACTATGTTGCTTCGGTCTGCAATCAGCTTTCAAGACAATTGAACTTATGCATAGTTTTTCGCAGTGTTCCCCCGCAGTGTACAGACAGCATGCAAAAGAAGAGTACAGGGCAGAGCTTACTTTCTTGTTCAGTATGGGGGCAACTGCGCTATGCATGTTTATGGGGTGGGCGAACGTTTCCAGCGTGACTGCGCAACGAAACATCTGAATCCACTAAACTAGGTGTAAGATATAAACATAAATCAGAAACGCCATTCAGCTGGAACAAGCCCGAGGGGTCGACCAGGAAAAACATGCCAAATTACCTCGTGGTCGGAGAGGGCGGAGCGAAACTCAATCAGTGGCCTGGTCCCCCCTATCAAAGGTGCGAGTGTATTACGTCACCCGAAGGGGTGGTATAAAGAATTTCGGCAGGTGGTGTGGTATAGATGTCAGCCTCAGGGAGGCCGTCTTGAAAATAATTTTGCAATGCAATTAGATCAGCCGTAACACGGATAGGGTCGGCAACTACGTAGTGGCTTCACTGATCGAAATGACAGTGACTGCTTCAAAGACTTGCGTCACAACTAGAACCGATCATGGCAACGGTCCGCGAAACATGCTCTGCTCAGTAATGGCAAGGGCTCAGCAGAGCTCAGAACACCACATGGGCGGCATGATGTGAAGGATGAGGCATCGTGATGCTCTCCAGGGCAGACCCCACGGCAAGCTGCAGCTTGTTCACGGAAAGCAGTTCATCGCCAGCTCCGCACCAAAGCAAGCCGAACACTGCATGATCACGACAATGGCCCTAAAGTGCTTGAACACTTCGTCCCACAAGGATAGCTTCTTGATCTCATTCGCCCCGGACACGTCGAACCTTTTCGCGGTGGGGATATCCCAACACGGCAGTTTCAAGCCCGTCGCAGTGATGAGGAAAAGGACGGCAGGAACTATCATGGACACTCGCCAGACAGGGTTTGCTGCGATGCCAGAGCTAACCATGGAATTGGTGGAAGGCATAAGAATCATGAAGATCTGTGCGACACCACCTCCTAAACTTCCCCATCCAGCTTGAGCCAAAATGGCTCTCTCTGTCTCTCTCTCTCTTTCTTTCTTTCTTTCTGCAGGGCGTAAGGGTCGCGCAAGCTCTCTCTCTCTCTCTCTCTCTCTCTTCAACACGGCTCTCTCTCTCTCTCTCTCTCTCTCTCTCTCTCTCTCTCTCTCTCTCTCTCTCTCGCACAGAAAAGCTTCAAGGTCCGACTGCAATCTTGTGCCGTGCTCGATGAACTAGTCATAGTCCGGAGCTCTGCCTGCATCGTCCAGAATGTCCCACGAAGCTCACTGGTGAGATTGCTCGAACCTTTGCGACAAATTGGCACGTGTGAGCAGCTGGCCCTTCCCGACACTCCTATGAGACTTGCAGGCATTGCAGGGCAGTTCCGCACAAACCATCAACACCTTGACTGGGGCGGGACGGAATGTTTGACAGCACCTTTGGCCCGAAATTGTGATGTCGAGGCTCTGCGGATCTCTTTGCATCTCCCATGGTTGGATCATGCATGCTCATACTCCAGTGTGATGTGTTTCCCTCATCTCGGGCTTCCTCACGACATGATGTCGCGCCTGGCTTGCTACCTTCGGTTCAGACAAGGAGCCTTCATTTCTTCTGATTCTTTGCGAGCGCGTACAGGAGTGCCCCGATGATGGCCAGGCTGGAACCAAGAGCTCCGAGCGGTGATATAGGGTTTCTGAAAACAATGACTGAGGCAATGATGATGACGACTCGTTTAACCGTGTTGGTCACAGCATGAGTGACCGGGGCAACCTCCTTCAAGGCAAGGAAAGCTACCTCATTGTAGGTGTAGTAGAGGAAGCCGGAAACGGAGAGCATGATCCAAAGCCTCTGAGCCGTGTATCCTGTTGCCCGTGCATGGGCCCAGGCAGCTGTGAATTTCGAGGGTCCCTCGATGAGCATGGAGGCAGGAAGAATCATGAAGCAACCCAGGATGGTGAGGACGGCAAACATGTTACCCGGTGTGAGGTTCTTCCCTAAACTCTTTCCGTCCAACACCTTCTTTCCAAGGATGGCTTTGCTGGCAGAGGTCACTGCGCTGCCGGTGGCAGCGATGAAGCCTTCAGGGCAAATCCACGGATAGGCGCTTCCCCCTATGCCGTTGTGCACACTCGGACAATGGCAGGGATGCACGCGGCGGGATACGAAGTGAGGGAGGGAGGGAGGGACGAGGAGGCTCAAATTATCAAGCAAAATCGCTCGTCTTGTTTGCCAGCCCCTACACGAACCAAGTGCCAAAACACTGCGATGGCACCAAGGCTTTGCATAGCATGTCAACGGCGGTTGAAGCTCTGCAAATGCCAAACATTGCAAAACGACCAATGACGGCTTCTTGCTTGGTCAAGTTTGCGTTCAATTGAGCTCATGTGCTGTTATGCTTGGTGGTGCAGTTGTGTGGATAGCCACCGGCCACCAATCCACAAGCCGCTTTCTGCTCCCGCACTACTGCAAGTTAACTTCATCGCGTGAGTCTGAGCTTTCCCTTTACTCCCTTTACCGGTAGCGTGAGCACTCCGGTGTCTCACATGGCTGACATTGGCTGAGCTGATGATCTCCTTTTCCGTTGCCGAGGCACTGATCCAAGTAAAGGAGAGTTCATGGGCGGATGCCAGTGAAACTCCGAAGATGATCCTTGATCGCCAGAACACTCCACATGAACGGTACGACGAACCGTGGCAAATTACCATATATGCGTTGGACAGAAAAAACAGCCGCTCAACAGAAGGAGGCTCGGGATGAGGCTCAGGTAAACAGGCAATGGCAGGAACTCGCGGAAGACTACGGCTGAGATCAATGCTGTCCTGAGTTGTGCAACCAAGGGCATCAAGCCACACGACCGAATCGCCAGGTCCATCACAACAGTCTGCAAAACTACAGCATGCCCGCTGAGGGAAAGCAATGTCTTCAGACAAGGATCCACACGGGTTCTGTGGCCTTGCATACGTGGGTGAAGGAAATGGCACCAGCTCCAAATGAGATGACACCGAAGACGTGGGTACACGCCAGGAAGAAAGCCGGTGGAATGAGGAGTTTGAGACCGCTCCAGGTCAGTTGCGGCCTCTTGCGGAGCCCGGTCAACCAAAGGAAGCCGACGTACGGCAGCCCGAAGAACAGCTCCCAAGTTGCGGAAGACCACGGAGTCGGAAGAGCTGTAAGGACGAGTTTGTTACCGATGTTATAGCCGATGTTGAGCGCATACCAAAGCACAAAGAGGGCTCCCAGCTTGAGCGTGCGCTTCGAAATCAGTGGTGCGGATTCCGGCTCAGCTGGCGAACAGTACTCGGCGCTCTTGGGGTCAAAGGGATCGCAAGTACCAGGCTCACGCCCCAATGCTTCGGCCGACAACTCTGGGTAGTCATCGCTCTGCTTGCCACTCTGATCTTCATCCTCGTCCTCTTTGAAACCTGTGGCGGTGGCCATGCGGACGCGGCTGCGCAGGGGCGCACCGGCTTGGCCATGATATGGACTCACAAACGATTGTGTAGATTCTGTGCAGCGCAGTGCGACGACAAGCCACGCGAGGGCCAGTGTGAGCACGAAGGCCAAAGGCTTGCGTCGCGAGTGCGAACCAGAAGAAATCGCCATCATTGCACCGTCGCACCGTGGCGCTCTGAACGGCAAGCTTGATCCGACACCTCAGCAAGCTCCTTTTTTCTGGTCCAACTTGGCCAAGCGTGGCTCAACGAGAAATGAAACAACACCCTTTTGCTGATGCAAGTTTGCAACATTTCTCCAATGCTGAATGGCCCTTAGCACGAGGTTCACCAAGACCACTCGTAGGCATTGGCCAATGCTCGATGAGCGAGCAGCATGTGTGCAAGCTGCGAGTCTCGAAAGGCACGTGACTTGTAATCATCAAGAAGCTGCTGGACATCCAGCAACGCTCAAGACGGACCTATGGTAGGAAGCAATCACAAGTTCCAGCTAGTGCTGATGATTTAGTGAAACAGATTATGGGAAAGACACTCGCTTGTGCGATCCAGTCTTTCAGGCAAGCCCATTTCCATCCTCTCACGGATTTTCTGTCCGGCAACGTGCAACTATAACCTTTGCAGCACATCTGCCACGTCCCCAAACATGTCAGCAGCTCGCTCAAGCCTACTCTCGGGGCTACGACTGGACCGGACATCATGCAGGTAGATCTGGCCCTCCAGCTATCCTGCTGCTTTCATCGCGCAACAATGCAAAACTGATCAAGATCTATGCTGTCTATGCTTGCAATCCGTACTCCTCCCAGAGCAGACTTGTTGTCTGCGCATGTGTCACATTTTCTGTGGAAGTCATGCAGGAGGAGAAGGGGCCGCACCTGCAGTGCTTGGCTTGACAGTGACAGAGTAACAGACTGACAGTCGGCATCTCTCGCCGCCTCCTCCCAATCGAGCTAGCCTGGCCTCCAGCAAGACAGGTGCATCTTGGCAGATTGTGGCAAAGTCCCGTTGGCGGCTATGGATAGGACAGCCCGCAGTGCAGCGGCATCCGACGGTGGGGCAGCAGGAGCTTTTGCCTCATGCTGACGCATCAGACCGTTGCGCACGCGGATGCATCATCGAAACTTGATTTGCGGAGCTTAGTTTCCAACACCCGGACTTGACAAAGTTTGCCCAGAGCCAGCATATAAGCTGTAGCCGGTTCGTGGTCCACCACAACCTGTTGCAAACTTTCCGCTAAATGAAAAACGCAGCCACAACAAGATGCGTGGCTGGGCCATCTGGACGAATGTGTTTCCCCACCTTCCTTTGCCTCGACCAGCTTCTTGTGATCTTCTTCCAAAGCACACCTCGGCTCCAAGATTTTAAGGGCCAAGCCAGGGGATTCGGGTGGGGACTAAAACCTGCGATCTGAGCACATGGCGAAGGGAACTCTCCAGTGACACGAAAGACGCCGTAACCATCACTGACCTTACGGGTCGAAACTCGAGGACGTATGAGTATGTCATCTCGGCAAGCTGCCGATTCTTGGCCACTGGCTGCCTCTTTGATAAGCCACTCGAGATCACGATCGGTGTAGTGCTTGGGCACGGACATGCAGCTGTTAAGGTCGAACCTGTGCAATTCAACATTCCGCTCTAATTCACGATTGCAACTCATCAGCACAAGACTTGTCTTGCCCAAGCTGGCCTTGCTGTGAAGATCTGCACTTGATTTGTGGTCTTTGTGGTGGTCTTGATGGCTTGATGATCCGGCTGGTCCATGATGGCACTGTTGGTGATTGTTGGTAGTTGCTTGATGCTGCTTGCTTGCCTCCTGCATTGCCGAACGGCTCGCTCGGCAGGCAATGTGACAAGGAGCCAGGTGAGTTCGCATACATCGACCGCCACACCACCGACAATGTCGATACAAGTTGCAGCTGAGATTTCTAACAGGTTGGAGGTTTGTTTCCCATGTCTGAAATCACTGGTTTGGTGCCCGGTCCGGGGATACAGCGTCAGCGCACAGCTTCTCGAATTATGCAGGCTCTACGCTGCTTGGTGGACCCAGAGTCCAGAGGGCTTGTGCCATTGACAGAAATGACGAAGAAGCTGTTGCTCAAGCAGTTGAAATGACTCATTAATCCGAAGAGGTACAAGAAGATCTCCATAAGACTTTGCTTGATCGGTCCGATGATCTTGGAAAAGGCCGCGGTGTTAGTGAGGTCCTGCGCACTCTGATGTCCAACACCTTTTCAGACGGACCGTGACCGCGCCACTACTGTATTCATAATCATAGGACGCGAGCAGGACCAATGCCAGTGCCAGGGTCAAAGAAGCTACACTTTGTATTGGGTGTTCTGAAGTGCAATGATCAATGTTATTTTCCATCCTCTGTCTGAGGTTCGCAGGGGTTCAGATACTGCGGCTTACACGTGCTCGCGACGCAAGGCGCGACTAGGGTTGTTGACTAGGACCAGGAGCACGAACAGAAGCGAGTGAACTTATACACACTATCATTAGCGGATACGCACGGCAGCTGCAGTCCCTACATGCAAAAGTCCGCAGCCCCAACCACGCTTTCTCCAATTGCTGTTCACCGATACAGAAACATATGCACATGCATCAGTGCACAGTTTTCAACTTTACATACGAATCAAAGGCCCGACCGATCAAGAAGGGCCAAACAAACAAATTAAGAGGGCAGCTGCAAGTATTGATTGGCACATGCTTATGAGACGGCTCCTCATGTGCCATGTGTATAAGATTGTTAAACCACTAGGATAGGGAAACGTAACTTCAACACATTGCAAACGAGGCGAATGCCAAGCGAAACAATCATGATATGAGGGCACGGCGCAGTTGCGCTCGGCAGAGGGAACGATTTTATCCGCAACGAGATCACGAAGCAGAGCGAGGTTGCGAGAGACGAGAAGGCACATCAATAACAAGCGATCATCATTGCACCTATCAGTTGGGGAATCTTGCGTCGAGATGTTTCTGCAGTGCTGTCGGTCTGCGGAAATGTGGAACTCTGCTCGCAGCCTTCTCGATCGGTGCACAAGCTCTGCAAATCAGGTGGTCGAGTGCATAGTCGTTGACTCGTCGCAAGCTCTGTGAGGAGCAGAAAGAGTTCTAGTGAACAACTGGCAGTGTTGGCGAAGTCCCGGTGAACGTCGCAAAGCATGGGCAGACTCAGCCACTGAAGCATGTCAGAAATCAGCTGTGCTGTGGTTAGTGCTGCCAGAAGGAAGCTCCGCCTGCAGGCAGTGGGCAGGCCATCGAAGTTCAATGCCGTTGCAGGCACTGAAACTGCTTTGCTGCCAAATTCGTGTATAGTGCTTTCCAACAACACCTCGCATTGGACTATTGGACCAGCATATTAGGAGCAGTGTCGGCTGGGGCCTAGGGAATGCCAGAAGTAACCAGGCAATGATGACTTGGCTGCGCTCTGCGGCCCACACCACTCCTGACCAAGCCGCCGCACGCAGAACCAATGCTCTTGCCTCGAAACCGGCAGAGGCTGCAGAGTCTTACGCGCAAACATTGATCGGTAAGACGGGGAGCTGGCTTATTCAAGATGAATGCCTTCTCCTTAGCTCTTTCCACACATTCTTTAGCAGCCTGTCGAGCGGGGAGAGTTTTCGGGAGTCATGAACGTTTCAAGAAGTAGGTGTAGGCCTCGGCCGAGACAGAGGTCATCTCGTATCCCGCCCTTCGCAGCACTTCCTGGCAACCCAAGTTGCGAATCGAATTCTGCAGGCTTTCTTGATGGCAGCTGATGGCCAGGGAGATTACGTGAGCCAGCGTGCAATTTTTTCCGTACAACACCCTTCGAACTTCGTATCATGTCGAAACTTCGGAGAACCTCAGCAAGTAGGCAAATCGAGATGCCCCTTTCGTGTGCCTTGCCCGTTTACAAGGATCCTCTCTCTGCACTGCATGGCTGGTAGGTTCAATCTAGATTTCACCCGTCAATGTTCTCTAGCAACCAATGTTCTCTACGTGCTCCGGCTGCTCCCCAGCCCTGTGAATATCAGTTAACTGCACATGCCATCGGCTCCTGCATGACCTGAACGTTGTAGAAGCCATCATAGCGAGCATTGCCTCACGTCACGAAAAATGTGGTGTATAACTTGGCATCACACCATGCTCATGCACCTGAGGTCGTCGCCAAAATCTAAGTCTTCACCTTTCATTAAGCTTCGTTCCCGCTCGTCCAGCACCTAAGTCAGGCCACGATGCTTCGGACCGAACTCTACAAATGCAGTGGAGCAGCAGCACACCACTTGCTGTGTCCGAGTGGCTCTCGCAACGGACCTGAAATCATGGTCTTCGTACAGCGGCCCCTGGGCATCTACGACGAGAACTGTCCATGCCAACACGGCCACGTAAGCATGAGCCGAAAGCCTGGAACATATTGTTCACACAGTGAATAGCCTCGGGACATTAAACACGCATGCGAGCTCGATCGTAGCAGTCAACATCAACCTCCAGACTGTGTGCATTTCGGCTCACGGCTCGGTCCGATCAGTATGCGAATTTGCGTGATGTGCTGAGGCATTTTCCAGCAGAAACCAACATGTGGTGACGGAAAGCCCGATGCAAACTGGTGTTTTCGAACAGCCAAGGCCGTCCAGCTTGTCAGTGTTCCGTCAAATTGACTTGGAGGAAGTGCCGTGTGCTTTGTAGGAGGAGGTACTCAACTCAAAACCCTACACGCAGCAAGAAGTGGCCTTCTGATAAGGTCTGACCATGCCTGCAGAAGGCTGCCCGCACAGAGTTACAGCTACAGCTTGAGGAAGCATTGGAAATAAGGACATCCGTTCACCAACCAAACTGCTGATTAGCCGATGAAGTCGTGCCCGTCGTACCCTGGACACTGCCAAGGGCCGCGCGCAGAGGGAGCCGACCTGCTTCTCATGATATATTCCGCCGGGGCCGAAAGGGCTCTGGTTCTTTCCTCTGAACAAGGAGCGCTTGTCGTTGGTTCCTAGCTTGAAAGGCTCTTTGCTTGCCAACTTCAGTCCTGCTTCGCCATCCTTTGCAACATCTGCAAGCCCTGTAATGGGCCTGGAGGGGCGAGTGTTGGTGCTCCGTCACCGCTATAGTTTGATGGCACGGAAGCTGAGACTGCCACATGCTGCAGCTAGCGCAGCTCTTGAAAGGAGCAATGCGATGATGATCCGAATTGTGCTGCGGCGTGGGATGAAGTTTAATTCCGGACCATCTAGTTTTACACAAACATCAACAAAGAGTCGGCCCAAGAAGGCATTCGCTTGATTTCTGTGTCTGAGGTCGCAAGACATCAGACTTAGACCATGTCAAACTGCCGGAGCATTCGGGTTTGCCCCTCAATGGTTGCGGTGCTGAGTGTCATGACGAACACGTCACACTTTGTTGCTTTGTTCCGGGCTATCTCGCTATTTCAAGAGATTGGGGCTGGTGACCTTGCTATGTACAGGTAACGCGCCCAGCAGCTTCCATGATGGTAGAACCGCGATGGGCAACAGGGCCATGGTGGGCTTCAGACGTGCGAAAACAACGGTATATAGTACGTATATAGGAGGTTTGATTTCAATTTCGGACTCCGCATGGGGCTCAACTTGTTCAGAATGTACGGGGAGGAGCAGAGAGCCGTTGTCCGTCCGCCACACCACCGAAGAAGCTGTGCGACAGTATTATGGAATTCAGGCGGTAAGTTCCACACGTGCAGTCGGCCTGGAGGCGAATTTTGATGGCTCCAAAATTCAATCGAATCAGGCTGGGCTCACTTGCAAGCCAAGAACCGACTTTGCGAAGCAGCAGAGCCTGCGAAATCCCTGCTTGTCCGTTTTACCTTCAAGCCGTCGGGCTCCTGACTGATGCAGTTTCTTTTGCCAGGTGCGCTCAAGCCACACGCCGTAGCTCTGCAGAAACGTGCTCCGCTATTCGATCCACTGGATGCTTCATCAGCTCGCCCATGCAGCCTATTACGATCCCGACTCCATTGCCAAATGCGTTCCTGAAGCGCTCCTGGCAGACCAGTACGTTCTGAAAGCAGACTGTGCTGAGCCAGCGAGCAACAAAAAACAAGGTTTAATTATAGTTTGTTGCACGCGGGCATCGGGTAGGTTGAATAAAGTGGAGATAGACCAACCTCTCTGGTGCCAAGCTAGTTGCTGTTATCAATCCTCGCTCCTCGGCCCAACCTATCGTAAGACTAAGGCTTCAACAACCACAGCAAGGTACAAAAAGACCGGGCGGCCTCCACAGTGTCTTCATCCAACCCTGCCAGTAGCGAGCCACCAACTGCGAGGACCACATCGCCTTCACGTATATCATCTTGCCCAGGCTTCCGTTCAACCTGCATTGCTCTGATGCGCACTTACTGTCGAAGCTCGATGGCAACCACCTAGGGTTGATGCACCGAATTGGGTGCACCGATTCGTTTAGCACAACTTGGCGAGCGCCCCTGATCTGCTCTGCGCTCTGCGAAATAAAGTGCTGGAGGTCGTTCTTGGTCAGTACAGAGATGCGACGGGCTTCCACGTGGCTCCATGCTGCATGTGCCACGGAGGAACGCTTTGCCGCGAAGGACGCCCTGCTGGTCACTTGTGAAAGGTGTTCTGCCTTGCCCCCCGAATAGAAGGTCCCTCAAAAGAATGGCAGCTCTCACTTGGCTGCATCCGGATGCTTTGGATCAGAACTGCCAAAATCGGCATGGGACTAAGGCTAAGGATTGTTGTTGGATCATGCTGCGCATGGGAATCCCCCCTGATCAGCTGCGGCTGCAGCTGGCCTGGGGTGGCAGATCCTACGTGCGGTCCATTGGAAAAGCGTAGGTGCGCCTGGTTAGTTTGTAGGTGTCGTGCCCGATCATGTAACCTTTGTGGACCTCGCATCGGGCGAACTCGGCTAGCAGTCTCGCGCCAGTTGCTTGAGCTTGAATGTGACTGTGTCGACGCTTTTCGCGAGCAGGCTTTGCTCATAACCTCTCACGAGTCTTTTCTTTCAGGGAGGCTGTATCGAATACATGTGCCGAAGACCATGCTCATAGATATTGTTTTGGCCATTGAGACTTAAGCACCGCATCAAACAGCCAGAGTAGCAAGGTAGCCCTTCCCATGCCGTTGTGAAGCCGAGGCCTTGTCCACGGCATAACCCAACTTGACCCAACGGAGCTGCAAACCTGCACCTTGGTGGAACCACTGGGAGGATCGTGCCAGCCTTCTGCCCTCATGCGCTAAAGTCATGCTCGAAAGCCCACCTGTTGCATCAACACGCAGTCGCCCTGTCCGGAGTAGCTCCTGCACGTCGCCCGTGACTTCCTCAGTCCATCAAGATCTTGACTGCGTTGCTGGACATGGGTCGGAGGTGTTGGCATCACGACGGGCTCGACAAGAGATCGAGACTCGCGCCGTTTGCGTATTCGGGATCTCGCGGAAGGCAGCCAGCAAGAAACGTCCGTGCTAGGTTTCTTGTACACAGTAAACAATTCGGAAAAGAGCATGTACTCAGCATGTCGAGATGCCAGCAAATTCCACAAGCTAAGACGTGCTTGGGCAGGCAACTCTTATGAGACTACCCAAACAGTCCCTCCCCGTGTTAAATGGTCCAGGTCTGAGCCGCGGGCCTCGTCGGAATCCACAGGTTCGAGCAAGTACTTCCCCCCACCGAGCGCATCCAGCGGCAATGTCTCTTCAAAGTCATCCTCCAAATGTCGAATCTGAATACCTGTCGCAGCAACTTCCAATACCTGGCCGTTGCCACACAAGAGTATGCACAACTAAGACAAGCAGGCTTTGAATGGGAAGGAAACCACCTGAGAACTGAAGTGATACAGATGCGAGGACCTTGATACCTGGGACCTGTGATTGTCAAACCCAGGAGTGCCTGTGCCATGTAGCTTCCCTGCCATTTGCCTTTCAGAACACGAACTGAAACACGCTTTCCAGGCAACTGCTCTTTGGCAGTTTTGAGCTTTAACTCTTGTAGAATGTCTTCCCATCTCGTCTGGATCTCCTGCAAAAGTAGCAAGGCTTTTCTGGCCAGTACTACTACAAGTAGAAGAGTAGAAGCTATCACTGGCCCAGATCCATGACCCAACTGCATAGCCATCCTTCAGAGCGCGAACACCATGCTGATGACACCATTCCTCACGGGCACGGTGCCAAATTTCAATGATGAAGAGCATTCTGTGAAGACTCACACTTCGCAGACTGTGCAATGAAGGTGGGGAGTCCACCTTCCGCAAACGCGTGCAAGCTTGAAGCAATCAAGGCACCAAGACATCTTCCAAATAATCCTCCAGTTCAATTTCTTCTAACCATGCCGACAACCCGGGCACTTGGAACGCCTGTTCATCGTGAGTGCCAGAGCCACGTTCCAATCCCAGGTCGCTTTTGACTTGCTCCCAATTCTCTTGGACCTCTTCCAAAAGCACGGCCCCATTCTCATGACACCAGTCGGCCACCTTCTGAAAAGACTGCTCGTATCCGACTTCGCGCAGCCACTGCTCCAGGCCGTTGATCTCCGAACTGTCCTTCGATGCGAAGGCCGCTGCGACGGCAGAGGTCTGCTTGCCTTCGCTTGCCAGGTGGCACTCAGAACGAAAATAAGCTTCAATCTCCTCGGCAGTTCCAGCAGGCTTTGTAGCAAATGCAGCACGGCACGGCGGCACGGCAACACAACAGCAGGAACTGTGTCTGCATTCATGGCAAGCCGCAGTTTTGCTGTAGGTGCCTTTGTACTTGAGCAACATCTCGTCGAGAGTTCCTGCTCTACCATCTTCAGGATCCACTCGTCTCTCCATCTTAGGCACGGCCAGCACGAGGCAAGACCGGAGGCACGTTTTCCTAGATGGGATGCTCATGGAAATCGTATGTTAGTAGTTTGCTGCCGGCTTTCATGGCTGCTACACTCGGTGTAGTGCGACCCCTGCGTCATTGTCTGCGATAGTGCCAAAGTGCCAACGGAAAGGAAAGCATCAACTGTCTATGCCAAGCCTAAACTTATCGGGGGAGGAGTGGCGCAGGGCAGCGCAATGCCCAATTTCTGAGAACGCGATATATTCCTTTGGGATCCCGACATCTGTTTCGTATATTACCGCCCGTTGTCGTCGCAGGGTGCAGCCGAAACGAGCATGTCAGCGGCACATCCGAGCTAGCCATACCAAGAGACTTCAAGCCAAGCTGTGGGCACGATGTTGGCAATTTCTCCCTCAGGATATCACTAAAGCGATCGCAAGTCTCCATTCGGCTGGATCCTGATCGACCATTACCGTCACGAAGCCACTCTTCACTCAGCTGTCTTAGCAAGGCTCGCCAGGCCTCTTTGGAATGCCGTCCCGGCCATCGGAGACTGCCGTCTGCTATCGCAAACGCATCAAAGTCTGAGAGACTTTGGCATCTCCACGAACACCTAGACTCTTGCGAAATCTAGCTATGAAAAAAACACAAACTCAGAACAGTGCAAACAGGTTCTTGTTCACAGTGCCTGGTGCGTGAAGTCTTTAAGCTGATGCATCTCGGGGGTTTGTGAATGTGAAGAGCCTGCTGCCACCTGCAGATCACGCAGAGCACACAAAACGAGCAAGGCTGAGGCTCTATTTGAGCCTCGAAGATGGCCCCAAGCTTCGACTCGGTGAAAGAAGACACCTCAAATTTCCAGCAACGTTTTGTGGCCTAGGCCGTGAGGCCGCAAGAAGCACATCTGGGATTCGCACAAAGAATCTAGCCGCTTGTCCGCCCGTTCCCGCATCCGTCCAGAATTCTTCTGCAGGAACCTTACGCACCCGCAACTCTGGACTCATGGCTGACTGTCTGTAGCAGTCCGACAGGCGTACTTGCCGCGTCCAGTCCCTGGGAATGCAATGGACGCGTGTCACCTGAAACATGAGCAGAGCATCCAAAAACTGCACGGACGCGTGTGGCCAGGAACTGGCAGGTGCTGGTGCCTCCGGCTCCGAATCCGCCTTCCGATCGGTTTTTGAGAGGACTGGCTGAACCTAGTGGCTTTCCCCCTGATACTCAATTCCCCTAACATGAATGGCTCGGCGCGGGTTGGCCCCTGCAATTGAATTGGAACATTTTACGGGACAGCGAAGATTCCGATTATTTCCGATTGGATCAAAAGTTTGACAGGACCAGTGCCATCCTGGTACTACTGATACTACGAACCAGCAGTACCGGGATCAGCGGCTAATGCCTATAGGTGCTTTAAAACCCGGTGGTGCTCAGCTGGTGCACCCATGTGCCGTGGTATTTGTTCAAAGAACTTGCGCCAACTGTTGTGACAATTGCTTGCTTGCTACAATAACTGAGGTAATGGTTACGATAGCTGTACTCAACATACAAAACGTAGAAGGTTAATCAGACAACCAATTTTTGAAGCTGCTAAACCAAACTTAAAGTAGAGAAAGGTCGTCGTCGCCATTGTTTAAGCAGCTGCCGAAACAAGTGTTGCAAATTGCAAGAATTGAGCAATTTCCGAAACAGTTGTCGCACGAATTGAAACCATTGAAAAACCATCCCAACCAAAACACCGTTTGTACCCGATTCAAGAGTGGACATGCGGAATGGGTTTTTGAAACATCAGGCCGGCCGCGTTTTTGGAGTGCACATTTCGCCCGGCGCCTGAAGACGCATGTTGACGACACATGCTTGGAAGGCCGGCCCCGTACCGACGCGACGTTCTGCCATAGGGTTGTTGAAGACACGCGAGCTGCTGACGCCACGTCCGTGTGACTCCACGTGACTTCGTGAAGCCTGCTGGGTTTCTGATGCCACCACCTGCACTGGTGACATCCGGTGACGCCACATTACGATGCCAGATCCGAAGACGTCACGTGTCTTCGCGACGTCACATATGTTTGCGACACCCCACGACTGACGGACGCGAGGACTTACTACTAGAGGGTTCAGGTCTCAGGGGTTTTAGGGCGCGGCAAGGTTTGCTGTGAGGGTTTGCTGCAATATCGTTTACATCTTGTATCATCTTGTTTGGTTTGTTTTAATGACATACATACAGCATGTATGTATGAGTAAGTATAAACAAACCAACATACATGCGTACATGCATGAAAAGTACACACATACGTACGAATTGACGTGGCGTCCAGAAATTGGAAATCAGACCTCTTGCACAACCTGAACTCCAAGGATGGCCCCTGAATTTAAAATCATAGCTCTTACAAACCTTGAACTCCGAGGGTGAGGCCTGTGACTGATGGGGTGCCCCTGATTTTCTAATCAGAACTCTTTGTAGCACTCACTCAAGCAGAACTCTTACAAAACTTGAACTCCAAGGGTGGGGCCATGGACTGATGGGGCGCCCTGGCTGTAAAGTCAATCCTGTCGTAAATCTTGAACTCCAAGGACCAAGGATGGAGCCTTCAGCTGATGGTGTGCCGTGATTTTTAAATCAGAGCTCTGAAACAGCTGGGAATCCGAGGGTGGAGCCCTTAATTGATTGGGGGGCCCTGATTTTCAAAATTCAACCTTTCATGAAGCTTGAACTCCCAGGACGGAGCCAAAGTAAATCAGAACTCTTACCAACCTTTTTGTCCCTCCTAGCAAGGACGAAGCCCGCATTGCAGGGTAGTTCAGGCAACAGATGTTAGAAGAATGCGCTTCAATTTCAAATCTCACAGAATATAGAACTCGGCTCAAAGGCAAGCTCGATGGCCTCAACTCCAAGTTCAAGGTGCTTTTCGGTCAACAGTAGCACATCATCGAGTTTGTTTGGCTTGCATCCTTTAAGGAGACAAGTTTGTCCATGAACCACAGGCAACTCAGCCCATGCGTAGCACCAGCATCAGTATACAAAGATGCGCACTTCTCTCCCCAGTGGCTCAATGCAGTGTATGTGAGCAGGTTGATTTTCACGAATGATCACTCTACAATTAATTCCGAATTCCATGTCAACCTGTCTGCAAGACTATCATCATCGCACCTGTTTAAGACAAGCAGTAGCATCGGGCTCTCTGCGATCAACATGTATATCAACTCCAGAAATCTCAGAAGCAGCCAAGCAAAGCAGCGCTGTCGAGACTCCAGGTGTGGAGCCATATTCAAACTTGCCTGTGAGCCAGAATGAATATCCTCTGCCACTCGCATAGTCGCCATGTTGCGCTTTTTCCATCCCAATCAGAGCCAACCGTCTCAGCCAACCACATGTTGTCTGTATTAGGGGCTCAAATTTCAGCTTTGGCCAGTCCATTCGGACATCGCAGCAAGAAGGACAGCATAGCAGCAGTGGTGCCCTCACGCTGACAGGCATGGTTACGCAGCTGTTTCAAACTTCACCGAATCCTTACACGTTGAGAGGTATTCTGGTCTGGGGTTTTCTTACAGACCTTGAACTCGAGGGTGGAGGCTTGGACTGATGGGGCGCCGCTGGTGTTAAAATCAGACCTCTCGCACAGAGTGAACTCCACGGACGGAGCCTTCCACTGATGGGGTGTCCTGAGTTTTTAATCAGAAGTGGGGTGCCTTTGATTTTCGTTTTATGCCGCTATACCTATCGTAAAGCTTGAGTCCGAAGGGCGCCCCAGGTTTTGAAATCAGCACCCTTATAGGCCTTGAACTCCGAGGGCAACGCCTTGGACTGACGGCGTGCCTCTGATTTTTAAACCAGAACTCTTGCGAGCTCCGAGGGTGAAGCCGTGAATTGATGGGGCGCCCTGATTTTCAAATCAGAACTCTTACAAACCTTGAACGGCGATGGTGGAGCCTTAGGCTGATGGGGTGCCTCTGATGCGACGCCACATGCCTTCACGACGGCATGGGAAGTGTCTGAGCTTGCCCACCTGTTTTCGCCGGATGTGTCTTCAGGAAGTGTCTGCGCTTGCCAATCTGTCTTCGCGACGCAACATGTGTTCATCGGGAAGGTGTCTTCTGAAGCCGCATAGTCTGCGCTGTCTTCGGCTGGTCTGTGTCTGCTGACGCCCGCGCGTGTTCGCATACCCTTCTGGAGAGCCTAAATATGTCTTCGGTCTTCGGGCGACATGCGCAAACCCCTTGGCGACTGCAATGTACACACACCTAAGCTGATACGGCTAAGAGGTGATACTACCAGTAGTACCATTAGAAGTATTATTAATGCTAAATCTGTCTTGGCTGGAGGTCTCGAGCTGAGCACGTGCGTGCGCGCGCGTGTGTGTGTGTGTGTGAATCCCTGATAGCAAAGGGCTTCTTTTGAGCAAAAGCAGGGGGACGTGGCATGAGATCAGGGACCACGTCCAACGAAGCTACCTGATCTCATGGGAAGCAGAGCTTGGCCAGCTCTGTGTACCTGCAGTAAAGTGCTAGCGAATGCATTGGAATGGCACTGGGGCCAAGCCACAAACCCCATGTGAGTGCAGATTCGCTTAAGTTAAGTGCTGTAAACCTAGCTACTCCCACCATGGAGTTTGCAAGTGTGTTTCCGACCGGCATTCTGTCAAACGGCCGGGCGTAGCAACTGCTTGAGGTCTTGAATGCACAGTTCCAGACATTGAATGCCTTTCTTGATCCGCAGCCATCTGATTGCATCTGCAGATCATTTGAATGCTTATCTGATTTTTCAACTTGATTCACATCTTGAATGCTCAATTGAATGCTCAATTGAATGATCGATTGAACGTTCTTCTTTTTAGACTGCTGCTGTGATTCCTTTGACGTTCCGGACATCACTCGCATCCAAGCATGTCTTGGACTCAGGAAGAATGGGATTCGTGGAAAAACGGAACCTGGGGCAAACAGCCTCCTCCGGTACCGCCCACCCCTCCCAATGCTCCAAAAGCCAAGGAGTTTGGAAGTCCTCAGGGCCCTTCCAACCATTATGACACTGATCTTCCTCGCACTGTTCATAGCGACCGCAACTTTTATGATACCAATGAGGTGTCTGGATTACAGTTCCCTCGCCAAATGGAGGCATCTAGCTGGGCTCAAAAGCACCAGCTCGCTGGCAGGGATCTTACTTCCATTAAGTTGCATGAAGTTTGTTGGCAAGGATGGAACAACTTTTCTCTTCGAAGCCTGGCCCAAGGCCGGTATACGAGCATCCTCTTTGCTCGATCCATCAAACAAGCCACATTCATGTCGTTTATGATGCAGAAGTTCCGGGAAAACAAAATGGACCTGGATCAATGTGCTTCTGTGTATTGTGAACAACAATGCATCCAAATTGATGCCACTGAAGCTGAACCTGCTCAAAAAAGTGCCAAAATGCGGCACTTTTGTGAATTCATTTTTGATCAGTGTAAAGACTTCCAGCAAAAGGAGCTATGCGATGCCCAGGACCGCATCCGCGAGCTCGAGAAGCAGCTTGTTGCGGCTCAGAAAGGTACCCCAGCAACTGGATCCACGGTGAAACCTGGACCCAAGAGGACCTCAGATGCAAGTAGTGAGAATTCCCGGAAACGTAGGCTGCCTATTGCCAGCCCAACCGGGAATGAGCCGACAAAGTCGACTCAAACCCTTCTTGAAAAAGCTTTTGATCCTCACTTCCCAGCACAGCGGGTTCTTGATACTCAAGCTCCTGTAACTGCTGTTCCCCAATCCACAACAAAGTGGATCCAGAATTTGAATCTGGAGCCTAAGCTCAAACAAGAGCTTCTGCAAAGCTGCAAAGCGGCTAATACTACTATGAAATCGCTTTCCGATGAAGACAAAGAGGCTCTACCACAAAGAGCTGCAGATTTTGGTTTTCCGGTTCGCTCTTTACATGGAGCCAAGGAAGCTGACCTTTTGAAGATTGTCTTAGCAGCTTGTGCTTTGGCCTCTTGACTCGATCGAGGACCAAAAGCAAGATCTTGAACTCAACAGCGACAACCGACAAAGGATGCAAACAATCCTTTCTGTGGCGAAAACCTGCCTACAGGCTGCCATTTTCGAGCCAGAATTCATGCCTTGGCGTTTTGGGTTTCGGGTGTTGGGTGCTTTTGTGGTGTTGGTTCTTCTTCTTCGCCAAACAGGCACAGGAAAACTGGCT